ACTTTTTAATTGAGATCTGTGGTGATTTTAATGAATGTGATTTTTTTGATGTTATGTAATAAATTGTACCAACATTTGCAAGATTTTTGAAATGAAATGGCCCAAAGCATGTTATTACAAAATTTTGCATGGGTGAAAATCCATTTGAAGCATAAAAAGGCTATTGGATTTTGCTGTAACAGAATACAAGAAGTTCATTCATATGGACTCAAGAGTCAGCATTGGAATTAACCTTTAAGAAATAGCTACTTGTCAAGTTTTGATGAGGTATCAAAGAATATCTATAATTAACTAAAAAGGTTCCTCCCTTTCCCAGCTACATACCTGTCTGAGGCTACAATTTTTCACATAAGTCAACTAAAAGAACATATCAGAGTAGGTTGAATGTAGAAGCAAACATTAAAATCCAGCTGTCTTCTACTAAATCAGACACTTAAAAAGAGATTTTCACAAATGTAAAACAATTTCCTTAACTTTAAAAACTGAAAACAAAGCTATTTTTTATTTAAAATGTTTTTTAACATGTAATGCATTTTATTAACTTAAAATTCATTAACATAGATTTTTAAAATCCTATTTTTAATTTCTAACATAATAAACATCAACAGATATAATCCTTGTAAGGCGAAACTTTTTGGAGTCCTCGATTTTTAGGAATGAACTTCAAGAGCCAGAAGTTTGAAAACCACTGTCTTAGAGAAAGGAAAAGAGGAAAGGGAGAGAATAAAAACAGATGAGGAAGCTGATCCAGAGTCTCATAGTTATGTAGATTTGAGGAGGACTTCAGACAAAAGTGGCACTGTGACTGAAGAGAAAAGCCTAATTCAGGATGTAGATAAGATTTGGTGATAATTCAGTGTGGGGTGAATGAGAGGAAAAGCTTAAAGATAACTTGTGTGATTAGCTATGTTTTTGTATTCCAGACTAGAACCAGTCATTGACAGAGCACAGGTTCCTGGGTGGGTGCTTCTCTACAAATACTCTTTTGGGAGATCCAGGGAGGAGGGCATGGTGATGGCCTAGGAGAAAGAGCAGCTGGAAAGAAACAGGCCAGTGCTGGCAAATGGAAGGCAAGGAAGACTAGGGGTGTTGGGCAAGAAGCAGGTCGTGGACAGGTGGAGGCAGGGGAAGGGATTTGACATCAATCAAGACTGTGTTTCATTTATCAGACTCGACTCAGAAATACTGTCTTAGAAACTGATGCCAAAGGTCCTGTTGCTAGTTCAGTGGCCAGACATTGTCTGCAATGCCCAGTGCTCCGCAGACTCTGAGGAGGATGAGGGGAAGAAAGCTTCTTTTGATGGGACGATCTTTGGTGATCTTTAGGGGGTCTCCGTGGTTCTAACAGTCAGGCTGTAAGAACAGGGAATGATGAGATGGGAAATGAAAGCAGCCAAGTGGGCCTAGTTGGAACAGTTTGGTAATCAGAAAAAAAGGAGGGAGTTTGTTATTCTGAAGGGATAGTGACTTCAGAAATAGTTATCAGAGACAGAAAAGTTATAGCTATTTTTTTAGGTAAAAGAAATATAAGCACATGGAATACAAATATGAATCTGTGACACCAGAAAATGAAATAACTGGTGTTAAAATTGGTAAGACTAATGACTGACTTTGATCTCAAAGATGTTTGGTTTATAACGTGTTTCTCACATTTTTTTGAGCCTTACAACCTTTAAGAAGTAGATTTTGGCTACTTCCCCAGTGAGGAAATGGGAGAGGTTAACTCTGTGAGGGGTTCTGAGCCCGTAGGGAAAGGTGAAGGGATGATTACAGAGCAGGTTGAAGTGATGTTGGCAGTAACTGGGGGGGGCGCTGAGTTCAGGGACTACACCTGCATGTTTGTGCCCCAAACATGGTCTGACAGGTGCAAGTAGCTACAAAGAGACAGAAGCGATCCAAGAAATGCCCTTTGCCTTCTCCACATGGTATTCCACAGTGCTATGAGATATTTGAGGAATTTTTTAAAAAGTCATTGGGAGGAATGTCACTTCCACTTGCCTAATGGATTTCTAGGGAGTGAGGCCAGTTACTCTCCCAACTCCAAATAGAGCCATCCTAAATTCTTCTGGTTTAAATCTGTGAGATGTAAAGCATGACCAAGAGGCGAGGTCTTCCTCTCATCCCTTATCCCACCTATATTGGGTAAGGTATGCCTATTACTGATGAGTGTGTTTTCACATTAACTACACAAATGAGAATAAACTCTCCCTTTATACGCTCCAGTGGGCTTTGGTTTGGGGGGTCATGTTGGAGCAAGAATTAGCTTAAATTCCGTTCTGACTGTTCAAACCTCAGTATTTGGTGATCAACTGTGGGAGTAGAAATGCATTTCCATTTCACAGTCATGTGTATTGGTGTGAGTACCCATCTCATCTCTTCCAAATTGGCACTGTCACCCTTCACCCGGTGTCCATCTGCCAGAAGGAAAAGTTCAGTGAGAGAAGGCTGTGTGGTAGGGAAGAAAAGATGCAGAAGGCGTCGTGTGGATTAAGGAATTTGGACTGAAGGAGACTTCCGAGGGGGGATGGTCACTTGGGTGACATTATAGAAAAGAAAGGGATATGAAAAGAGAGTTGGGAAGCTTTCAGAAGAAAAAACATTGCAGTGTCTTGATGAATGCCGAGAGTGAGATGTCTGTTCGCTCACTTCAAACCTTGGTAGTGTTTTGGAATTTAGGTAGAAGCAAAGTCCAGCTGAACAGTTTGGAGGACAAGTTAATCCTGACTTTGGGTGTCTTTTATCAATTCAGACATTAAGCCTGAAGTTGCCACTGCTCCCCACAACTCGTCTGAAGGGAGGGTCGGCGACTGCTCATCTTTGGGGAGACATATCTCCCTGAGAGTCAGGGCTGCCTGTGTGCAGGTGCAGGTGGAGGCAGCAGCGACCTGCTGGGGCAGCCCTGCTCCTGCAGGACCTACGCAGGACACAGAGTCTGGGGTGCAGCCCCAGGCAAGCCTGAGGCTGTTTGTCTTCAGGGCCAGTTTTGTGGCAGCCAAGCCTGTGCAGCTGCTCTCCCTGCCACTACAGCAGCTGCCAACTGGGAGTAGTTTCTGGCTCTTTCCCCAGTGTTTCAGGTTGAACTAGAAGCTAGACATTCTGGGGCACAGTCACAATTGGGTAGCACATAGAGGTTGTTTCGAAAGGAAAGGCAGGCGTGGAGTAGAGAAACTGCCGAGTTCTGTCCCTTCACCCACTTCCTCCCCTTCTCATCTGCATCCTGTTCTTCCCCTCTGGTCCAGCTGCCACCTAAGATAAAGCAGCTGGCCCTGCCCCAGCCTCGGGGCAAGGGAGGGTGAGACCAAGCCTGTTCTAAAGTGGTTCGGCCCTTGGGTGTGCCCAGGTTGTGCTGATTTGGTTTGGTTCCTGCCTTCCTCACCCAGATGCCTGTGCACCTCGAGAATCAAAATGTGACTGAGGTCTCTGTGGGAAGGGGCCTCCTGTAGAGTGGCTCTCATGTGTGGTTGATTGCACCTGTTGGCCCGGGGCCACTGCCTCTTCATGTGACGAATTTAACTCAAACAATGCAGGCACTCTCAACCCAGGCAGATCAAGCCCTGGCTGTTTTACCCCTAGTCTTCTAGAACCACTGAAAGACATCCAAGTTTGTAAACAGCTCTCCTTCCTACCCCACACATTGGGAAGCCTTTGAGAATAAGCAAGGGTAGGGTACTTCTTCTTCCTTGAAGATACACCTGCCTAATTTCCCTTCTAGCTACAGTCCTGGGAGCATGATTTAGCAAAGCTGATGTGAGTGAGGGTAATACAGAAGGTGCTCTCAACTCTGCTTGTTTTAAGGTTTGCAGTTCTTCACAAAAGGCAGTCAGTTTTGAACTGTGGTGCTATTATTGCTATTTTGTTCTTCTTTCCTTATTGTATTTTTCTGAGACCTACTATCTATTATCTGCAGATTTCCACATGTAGGGAAAGTAGGTTCATGAAAGTACGGCTTTGGGTAGCTAGACAATTTAACAAAAATGAACAAAACATTAACATGAGAGACTATATTACAAGTTTCATATTGTTCTTAAGTTCTAACTTCCATAAGCACAGTTTGCTTTATACATTATTTCATTCCCTGACGGATGCTAATTTTAAAATAAGAGAGGTATTAGAATAATGTGAATATCATTTTGTCAACCATAATTAAGTACCTACCTTTAGGCTTTTGGATACAAGGTTTACCTACAACTTAACATTTAAATTAAGTGCAACAACAAACATTTCTTTAGTGCAAAAAGCAAGATAACCGGCCTTAGGGTGATCAGAAAGAAAGTCTTCTGAGCACACCTTGTGACAAAAGGTGCTTCCAGCGTCTCTGTGGAGCATGTTGACAACGCAGCCTGATTTCTCTGCATTTGTGTGGAGTGGACAGCAGAGTGTGTTACTGGACCCTATCTTTCAGGACCCATGTCACTGGGATTTAAAATCTTTGTTTCAACTTGGACTTCTGATGATGACCCTTGAGTGGGAATCCTGGGTGTGTTTCACTGCTCTGGGGTGTGCGGACGGAGCCAGTGTCCACCGAAGTAGTCATGCCCTGCCTTGTTTTAACGAGAACTTGCGCTTCAGCTCCACCCCAACGTCCAAGTAGCCTGCCTGCCTCTCCAGTTTTACGTTATTCCAGCCCCTGTGGGCATTGGCCACACTGTGCTCTTCCAGCGGAGGAGGCAGGTACACCTGCTCCTGCTTTGGCGTCTGCTGTGCCTGTGTCCACACAGCAGGAAACTAAGAATCGCTTTCAGGTCATGACACTGGGCTCCTCTGATTCGGGTCAAACAGTTCACCTCCTGCACTTGGAGTTTCTCTTTTACTGTTTTCCGCACCTGTCACAGCCTCTTAATTAGAATGTACGGCTAGAGGACAGGCAACATTGTCAAACTTGGTGCATTTTGTAAAAATACGCAAAAGCCCCAGACAAGCAGCCGTGGTGCCAGCTCCTCCAGATGTGATACCGACACTCCCCAGAGGGCTATCTTCATTGTTTTCTCTCTCTGTTCCAGAAGCAAAGGCCGATAATGAACCGAGCTGTTCGCCGGCAGCTCAAGAACTCCTGACAAGGCTGGGATTTCTACTGGGAGAAGGGATCCCAAGTGCCACACACATAACCATTGAAGAAAAAAACGAAACCATGGTAATGCCCGCAGAAGCCACTACATGTCCCACCTGTTCAGAGGACGAACGGAGGGACGGCCGTCTTCTCCTCTCCCTTGAGTGGGGAAGCCGCGGTTCAGCCAGATGACTTTGAGCTGCTGGGGATTGAAATTTATTGCAGTCCCTTGTGGGGTTTTGCAGTGGGGAGGTGGGGAGATGCAGGAGCATACGCAGAACTTAAGGAAGTGTCCACATTAACCTTCCAGCCACCACCCGGACAAGAGCGGCCAAACGGATGAAAGTGACTGAGAGAATTCCTTAGTAATGAGACTACTTTCATCTTTATGGCACCATTCTTCTCAGCTGGATGCTTTTTTTTAGCACTTAAGATTTTGGAGGGTCAGTGGGGTGAGGAAAAGATTTATAGGAGGTGAGCCCCAGTGGTTCATCCCCCAGAGTACACTCCCCACCCTGGGGCACAGCAGCCACTCCTGAGAGGGGGGAGGGGACGGTGCACTTGAATAGCAGTGAGGGACAGAGGGCGCTTCCACCTGGGCCAGGGTCTCTGCATGGGTGTCACGCCTCGTCTGAGATGGCAGCGGCCACCAGTCTGCTTCCCCTGCTCCCAGAGCCCATAAACCTCGGGGAATTGAATCAGGTTGCTGGGCTTGTGAAACATTAGGAAAACAGAGCTCCCAGATTTTCCGTACAGAGGTCAGAGAACCCATTTGTCTTCGGCGGACTTGAAATGAGAGGAAGTCTGGCTGCTTGCTATTTCTGTTTCACAAATGTGCATTCCCACTACTTTATTTCTAGGGCTGCCCTTGCCTTAAAGTAGAAAAATCACAAGGGAGGGGCATAGATTAAGGATGTTTCTCTTTTAAAATTTGGAAGACCTGTATAGATGTTAAGCTCCCAAGATTTTAAAAACTGTTTTCCACTTTCCTGTTTTTTAGTTTTTTTTTTTGTTTGTTTCAGCGTCAAAAACAAAAGGTGTAGATGCGACCGGTACGAGCCCTGCTAACTCCTCCTCTGTTCATCTTACAGTGCACAGCTCTGAGCCAAGGCATCAGCCCTTGCTCCACCCTGACAAGCAGCACTGCGTCTCCCAGCACCGATAGCCCCTGCTCAACCTTGAATAGCTGTGTCAGCAAGACGGCAGCCAACAAAAGTCCCTGTGAGACTGTTAGCAGCCCTAGCTCCACCCTGGAAAGCAAGGACAGTGGAATCATAGGTAAGACACACACTGCTCGGCAACTCAAGGGCTTAGTGCGCGCCCACCAGAGCCCTCATTCACCGGGCTCTTCTTCAGCGGGTCGGCGCGGCGCGGTCTGGGTTGGCCGGTCTGCTGGGGCCTGCCCTGTTCTTCGCAGACCGTATGGCCTCCATGCACAGCCGAGAGAATAAAGCATTGATGTTTACATTCCTTGGTGTTTCTTTTATAACGCTGGACTCAGGTGGTAAAAAGTTTTCCCAGTCAGACCTGGCCTGTGAAGTTACAAAAATCTGCCCTCCTCACTAATGAACTGCATTTGTTGGGGGTCGGGTCTCAATGGGACACAGCAGGGCAGCAACATCCACACCTATTGCGAAGCCTTCCCAGCCCAATCTCTAGGTCATTTACATCCCCACATATTTCCAGGTGTGTGCTCTTTAGTTTCTTAATACTGGGATCTGACCGGTTTTGAGTCCAGGATTTTCTGAGAATGTTCCCCCAGCTCCCCACACCTCCATAGTTTGTGTGGTTGGTCTTGTCCAGAAGTGAGGGTCAGGATTCCAGTCCTGACTCAGGCTGCTCAGCTCGGTGACTTGAGCAGTGTTTGAGTTCTTGGCACGTCTCTTTCCTCTCCATAAAGTTAAGCATTCTGATTCGTTAGTGGTTCCTAGTCCCAGGTGAATGTCAGAATCATCCGGGGAATTGAAGAGCCCTTGTTGTTGCATCCAATCCCAGAAGCACTGCATCTAAATTCCTGCAGGCAGGCCTGGGCATCTGTGTGTCTCGGGTGTCCAGTTTGGCGCCTTTCAGGAAGCAGGCGTGTGGGACCCTTAGACGGACTGTGCTCTGCTCTAAGGTCATGCTCTAAGGTCAGGCTGCTGTTTAACATCAGTGTTCTACTGAACAGTTCCACTCCTTCCCTTTTGCTGAGTTATGCTTGTGTCTTTGATAGATATTTACATTCTGTTATGGACTGAACCCCATTTACTTCCCTATTAACATGTAACCAAATGGAGTGACATTTGAGCTCCTTGTTTTCTTGAGTGACCTGCAATCTCTTTCAAGTGCCATCTGATAAGCCAAGTTGCAGGTTCACCCAGTTGTAGTTTGAAGCTTGCCACAGAAGCTCTGTGAGTTTCCTGGGGCTGGACTGTGGGCATCCTGGTCTTGCCCTCACCGTGGCTTTCTGTGGAACCCTCAGCATGACAAGGCAGCCTCTTCCCTTGGTTTGCACTTGGATTAGCCTCTTTGGTGGGTATTAGTTTCATTAATTGCTTTATGGAAATACAGCTCACATACCATAATAATTGTTCATTTAAGCCATCGAATGGTGTTTTGGTGTATTCAGAGTTATACTACCATCACCTCTGTCTGCTTTCAGAATGTGTTTGCCCAGAAAGGAATCCTGTGCCCATTAGCAGTCACACCTCATTTCCCCCTTCACCTCCAGTGTCACTCAGTCTACTTTCTATGTCTGTAGATTAGCTGATTCTGGACATTTCATATAAATGGTGGGTTGAGGTTTTTGTAGCAAATTTAAATTCTCCGTCCGCTTCCAGTGAGCTTATTTTGCTAATTCCCCATTCTCGTCTGATGCTGCTGCCCCACCTGCTGTCTAGTCCAGTCCAGCTCACTTTTCCCAGGGTTCCTTCTGTTCTCATGCCCTGTCTGTCTGTCTCTGAGCTGTTCACCATTGCTAGATCACTGGTATTAATTCTGTGATAGCCAGATGATTTCTTTACACCATTCTTAGCTCTGCTGAAATTCTGTCTCCTCTGTAGAGTTTATTTTCGTTCACAAAGTTGGCCAGTGCAACATTTTTTTTTGGACAGCCTTTTCCTTTTCATTGTATGTTCTGGCATTGGCATTACGTGCCTCTTACTACAACCAAGCCAGTGTCTTGTTTTGACAGTTAGAAACTTTCTGAGTAACAAAAAAAAATGACATTCATTCATTGTTTCTCTTTCTCTCTCTCTCAGTAAGATACAGTGCTACAATGTAAATTGTTCTAAAGAAAGGGAGGAAAAGTTGCCGGTTTGGTTTTCTGTACTGAGCTGCAGGAATATGGAGGCTCTTAATTAGTGTTTAGTTGTTAACACAGGTCCACTCAGTCCCAGACTGGTGGGCCCCTCAGTGTATGCTCTCCATAGCACCTCAGTGTGCTCTTTCAATCCAGTTTTTCCTGGTTTCACTGTTTATTTTTGTCTCATATGAAGAGGGGACTAATCTGAATTATCCCAGCTCTCCGCTGGGCTCCTAGCATGGTGTTGGGAATGAGAAATTAAAGAGAGTTTTTGCTACCATCAAGTTCCATTGAAGGAAGGACCATTTAGTTGGTTTTTAAAGAAGCTGTGTGGGATTCCCAGTCCAGGTTGGCATTGTCACATCTTTTAATGCCATCTGTATTTTTAACTGTTTTGTCCTTAAAGTTAAATGACACATTTTGTGTCATCGAAGCTGGCCTTCACTTTTTCGCTCAAGTCAACATGTTCCCTTAACTCAGCAGATGAAAGTGGGAGGAACTCGAGAGGGCAAGTCCCCCTTTTAGGAAGACCCCAGGCTGGAGGGTGCGCTTCACGTCGTTTTAGCTCATCTCCTGCCGGGAGCAAGGATCGTAGGTGGCCGGGAGGAGAATACTGTGCTGGTGACAATGTTCCTCTGTTCTCTCTCCTTCCTGATCTGCAGAATTAGTCTTTTGCCAAGGGACACATGGGAGGTGTGGTAGGGAGGGGAAGGGAAAAAAGCAAGTATTTCCTCTCCAGACAGACTGTAGGCACTGTGTGTGAAGCGGCAGGAGCGGCGGGGCCGGGGCGGGGTGGGGGGGGAGAGCTGCCCCCTGGGCCCGAGCAGCGTGTGCAGGTCTTGTGGCCTCTTTGAGACCCTCAGGGATCTGCGATGCAGGGTGCTTCTGCTATTGCCAGGAAGGCGTGTATGCCTTTTCTCCCTGAGGAGCAACGTTTGTTTTTACAAGGTGTAGCCCGGGAGTGGCAGCCTTAAATGTTTAACAGAATAAAATATGCAGGAACACAGCGATCCTAGTGGTCAGAGATGACATGGAGATACCTTGGCTTTCTGTTTTGGAATGCGTGGCAGCTGCTTATAAAATGGGCTGGTTCAGATCTGTGTTCCAACTTACTGAGGGCCTGGAGAAGGGAGGAAGAGTCTTTCTGGTGAATTTTCCAGTGTAAGATGTGTAGGATTTGTCAACCCACAGAGCCCAGGGTGGAGTGGCGGCGGTTGTGGGGGCGGGCTGGTGCGGAGTGTCCACAGCTGCCCTGCCCTCACCAGCTTTGAGGAGCTGCAGGCTCCCATGCGGTAGGGCTCTGACCAGAGCTCCATGCACAGTATTAAGTCATGTAGGACATTTCAGGTAAATTTCAAACAGTGCTAACCCATCCTGAAGTCTTCCTGGGCCTCCCCTTCTACTTCAGCTGATCTCCATCATGCCGATTATATTTGATCTAAGTGTTTTCGCCCCACAGTGTCGGAGGGAAGCTTGTTCCCACGTGCCCAGGTGGCCTTCGCGGGCCTGACACAGGGTTCCTCGCCTGGGCCCTGTTGCCACTTGCTTTGACATACTGCAGGGGGAAGAGAATTTTCTTTTGAGGAACTGCTCAGTAGGAGAAAAGGCAGGCTAGCGATCATTAGAAGACTTTCTCGGACCCCTTGCAGCCTGTCTCTGTGGAACCCGCCCCGCCCGCCCCCGTTCACACTTGACTGCGTTATGCGGGGGCGTCCAGCTCCGTCCTGTTTCCTGGGGCCGGAGTCCTGCCTGCGGGAATGTCTTCAGAGGTGTGATGACTCTGTCACATAGGAACACTGTCTGAGCTGGATGGGATTAGCTGAATTCCCTGTGAATATCTTCTAAAAAAAAAATTCCTTGCTCTTTACGTATTGAAATCATTGGTCTGACCTAGAAGTTAGTGTCTGATTTTTCTCACCTGCCATGTGAAAAATCCTTTAAATGTGAAACCCAGCTGTACCCAGTCATTATAAACTAGTTTTTCAATTACTTGGTTTGAAAAGGAAAAAAATTATAAAGAAGTGGCTTTTAAAGGTGTTCCCCCCATGTCTGGGAAAACATTTTTTCTTAGTGATACTCTCTTTATATAACTTACTCCCAGCTGTTACAAATGGAAATTGTAAAGTGTATTAATCCCAGTTTCCAACAGATGTGTTTTCATTAGAACCTATGAGGAAACCAATCTGATTTTTTTAATTGCATCACTGAAAATAGTGGGTTTGAAGAATTTTTTGATTTTAAAGTATTGTTTGTGTCCATATCATGATCAATATTTTGTGTACGGGTATTTACTTTAGGGAAATGGGCTTTTTTCTCTGTTAAGGAAGAAGGAAAATGTGTACTTGCTGGGGAGAAACAAACAGTACCCAGCTTTTCCCTCAAGATTTTAAAAAATAATAAATCTTCCCTACCCATTAATGCATGTGGCCATGACAAGGCCTTGCAGATAGCAATTAGAAAAGTCCCGGCTTTGAAGAGAGGTCGTTAAAAGTCAGCCATCCTTCCATTTCCTTCCTCTACGATCATCTTGTACCTGCTGACACTTACAGTCCCCAGATGGCTTTTGCGGTGCTCTGGCTATGCTTCCTGTTGAGAAGGGGTATCAGTGCAGGTCCAGGAAGGGAGGAGGGGGGGTTGCAAGTGACAGTGGTCCCATCTTCCCCGCTCGTCATGTCTCCTGCACCCAGCCGTGTGCTGTTCACCTGCCAGACTTCCCAACACCTGAGCCACCGCATCCTACCCGGCAAGGTAGCTTTCAGGATGATTACGTGTTCAGGGTTTGGAAAGGGTAAAGCAAGAACTTGGGTTCTTCCTGCTGCCTGTTCCTTTTCTTTGGGGGGGGGGGGGACTTGTGTTTATTTGCTTTGTCCTTCTCACTTGGAAGCAGGTGTAAGTTTAGGTGGGGGATATCTCCACAGAAATGTTTCTCCTGTGAAAGGGACATAAAATGAAATAGTGGCCACTGGAATGATTATCCTGCTGGTACTTACTAGTG